TTAACTTTCAAGAAATACTATGGTTGCAGAATGAGGGTCTATTAATCCTGCCCTGGCAAATGAGTACAAATAATGGCTTGGGCCGGCTCATTGATTTCTTAGATACAACTATGAGACCGTGATGAGCAGCAAGACATCATCACAAACAATCAGTCAAAAAATCAGCCGGAAATGGTAGCGCACCCCTGTAATTCCCGCTACTTGGAAGTCTGAGGCAGAAGTATCGCCAGAGCCCAGCAGGTCAAGGCTGCGGTGGCCGGGAGCGGCCACTACACTACTATCTGGGCAAAAGTGGGAGACTCCAACTCAAAAAAAAACATCGAAAAAAGAATAGCCCGTCTCTATATGTCCTGGAGGCCCATGGAAGTTTACCTGTGGGATGCGTTTCCAGGCCTGGGCTCTGATCAGGGGCACCCTTCCCTTGAGATGGCTCCCAGCTGCAGCTGTTCTCAGGATGCCTGTGTCCCCCACACCGTGCCCTGCAAAGGCAGGCGGTGACTTCTGACCCTCCCTCGGCCCTGCTCTCTCGACAGATCCCCAAGCGGCTGTATAAGGCCCTCTCCCTGCTGAAGAAGGAGTTTGAGCTGAGCAAGCTGCAGCAGCGCCTGGGGCGGGAGGTAAGGCCGGATGGCACTCGGGCCCAGCGCAGTGGTGGTGGCGCCAGGGCCCCGCTGTGTCTCAGGGCATTGTGCAGGCAGCTGCTCTGGCCTGGCTGTGGATCTCTGTGAAATGGGAGTCTCAGAGCTGGTCCCAGCAGTGTGAAGAGCCCAGAGTGGAGAGACCTCAGGTGTCCTGCTTTGAGGGAGGGAGTTTCTCTGCCTTTCTGACCGTGGGGACAGCACTAGAAATGGAGCCACCCTGAGATGATGTCCCCTGAGACGCAGCTGCTTGAGACCTGCATCCTGATTGCGGACACATCTGTGGCCTGCGTGCTTATCAGTTACTTCACAGTCGTTGTGTTTCTCAGATTTGACTATAATTTTTTATTTTTATATGTTAATATTTCTCTTTTTGCTTGACATGGTGACTCACACCTGTCATCCCAGCACTTTGGGAGGCCAAGGTGAGAGAGGATTGCCTGAGCCCAGGGGTTCGAAATCAGCCTGGGCAACTTGGCAAGACCTCCTCTCTACAATAAGTCAAAAAATTAGTTGGGCATGGTAGCATGCACCTGTAGTTCCAGTTACTTAGAAGGCTGAGGTGGAAGGATTGCCTGAGTCCAGCAGATCGAGGCTGCAGTGACCAAGAGCATGCCACTACACTCCAGCCTGGGCGACAGAGTGAGGCTCCGACTCAAAAAAAAAAAATTTTATTTTCTTTGTATTTTTCAGATTCGACTAATATTTTCATATGTGGCTGAATTTTTTCATTTAGTTTTATTGGGGGGGGAAGTTCACCTTCCATCTTTAATTAGAACATTTGGCTGTCAGTAAGGGCCGCTCCCAAAACACACAAGTACAGCATGGGGTGCCCCAGGCCATGCTACGCTGGGCCAGCTTGAGCCCACGTCCTGCAACCCTGCGGTCCTGGGATCTTGCCTGGCACTGTTGAACCTTTCCCTCATTCTGATCAGGACTGAAAGCAAATAGCTTCCTCCCTGTGTGATGCAGGTATCAGCGGAGCTGCCTCCGCAAGGCCGGGGCGTGGGGGAGAGTCTGGCTAAAAGTCAAGGGAAGTCAAGGGCAGTGGTTCACGCCTGTAATCCTAGCACTGTGGGAGACCAGGCGTTTGAGACCAGCTTGAGCAACACAGCAAAATCTCATCTCTGCAAGAAACATAAAAATGAGCTGAGCGTGGTGGCGTGTGCCTGCTGTCCCAGCTACTTGGGAGGCTGCGGTGGGAGGATTACTTGAGCCCAGGAGGGTGAGGGTGGCGATTCATGATCGTGCCACTGCACTCCAGCCTGGGTGATAGAGTGAGACCCCATCTTAAAAAAAAAAAAAATTGGGAAGGAGCCAGAGTTTGTGCCGGGGGGCCTCTCTCGACTCTGGGAAGCAGGAGCGCCTGTGGCCAGTGCAGCCCCACCCCGCCCCGCAGGTGGAGGAGAAGATCAAGCAGACGCACCGCAAGTACCTGCTGCAGGAACAGCTGAAGATCATCAAGAAGGAGCTGGGCCTGGAGAAGGAGGACAAGGACGCCATCGAGGAGAAGTTCCGGGAGCGGCTCAAGGAGCTTGTGGTCCCCAAGCACGTCATGGACGTCGTGGACGAGGAGCTCAGCAAGCTGGGCCTGCTGGACAACCACTCCTCAGAGTTCAAGTGAGCGCGCCAGGCGGCATCCTGGCAGCAGGCAGGGGCCCAGCAGGCACCCATGGGGCGCTCCCGTCCTGGCGGGCGCTTGCCTCGTGCCCAGCACATTGCCCCTGGGGGGGACATGCCGTCATCATCCCACTTCGCAGACGAGGACATCGAGGCTGGGGGAGTTAGTGGCAGGGCCTCGGGGCTGATGGACGGGGGGCGGGGGTGAGCCCGGGGATGTCTGGCCCTAAGCCAGTGCTCCCAGCCAGGCCCAGGAGTCCCCAGAGCCGTCACCCCATGCCACACCTTGTTTCTGTCTCTAGCCTCTCTGCTTTCCGAGACAGCCAGGGTGACCGCATCTTCTGCAGCTCTGGCCTTGCCAGGGGTCATTGTCCCGTGTGCACTGGCTGTGAATCGGGATAGCCACCTTGGAGTTCAGGTCGAGGGGCTCAGGTCCCTGTGGGCTGTACCCACCACCAGCCTGCTGGACACCAGCCAGGATAGGACCCACCTGGCCACTTCCTGCCCAGCTTGCTCTGCCTGTACCCAGGAAGCAGGCATTGCACCAGGGCAGCCCCTAGGGCCCAGGGAGGCCATCAGCTCAGCAGGGGCCTGACCAGGCCTCTGTCTGGCTCAAAATGTCCAGGAGCGCCAAGGTCTCTTTCCACATGGACCCAGCAGGCGCTGGTGTCCTCCAGAGGCTATGGCCTCCACACCCATGCCCCGATGCCGCCTCCTCTTCTGGTAGCCTGTGAGCTTTCTGCTGCAGTGCACGAGTCTTAGTCTGCAGGACATGAGTCCTAAGACCAAGCTGTGGACAAGGCCAGTCCCTCCTGGAAGGGAGGCTCCAGGGAGCACCCTTGTCCCCTTTTCCAGAAAGGGGTCTAGAGGCACCCACACCCCTTGGCTCGGGCCCCTCCCCTCCTCAGAGCTGGCAGTGCAGCCTCTTCCCATCTCTCTGATTCTCGGTCTCCTGACCCTGAGGATGTGGGCTGGGTCACCAGGATTATCTCCCAGCTCAGCCTCCTTCACTCAGTCCCTCCTGCAGAGACCCTTCTGCCGTGTGAGGGGACATGCGCAGGTCCTGGGGAGGTGGGTGTAGGTATTTAGGGGTCGTTCTGCCCCTGCTGCCCCTTCAGCCTCCCTTGGGGCTGATAGCAGTGCTCGCTTGGGCCCTGCAGGACAAGACAGCCCTGCCTCCTGGGGCTCAGTGGGTCTGCAAAGGCTGGTTCTGTTACCAGGCCCTGGGGAGCCACAGGGGACAAGCCCGCTCCAGTGGCCTGGGGACTGTTGGCCCCCTCCCCCGGCACTGTCACCAGCCTTTGGCGCCGCTTCTCATCAAGACGCCTGCAGCAGCCTTGGCTGCCTCCTCTGCCCAGAACATTGTGGCCATGAGTCCCTCCTGCAGGGACTTTGTGTGTCCCTAGAGTGAAACCTGCCATGTGCATGGTCTGGCCTGCTCGGGGTGCTCCTGGCCTCGCTGGCCCCTGCTGGCACGTCTCGTGTGCCAGAGGGTGGGCATGGTGCAGCATGCCTGGGCCACTCAGTGCCTGGCCTTCTCAGAAGCGGCTCTTCCTCCTCCCCACCACCTGGCAGCCCTCTCTTGCTGGGCTCTGGCAGAGGGCCTGGCCTCAGTTTCCCCACCTACCCTGCCCCTCTGGTGTGGCTCATTCAGCCTCTGGCGCGGAGAGGATGGCCAGCACACCTCTGCTCTGCTGAGGAGTGTCAGATGCAGACCTCAAGCTGCACCCTCCCCTCACCGTGTCTGGGGCTCTGCTGAGAAGCAGGCAGTGCTCGTGTCAGGATCCACAAGAGTCCCCGGGTGGCCTGGCAGGGAGTGGCTTTTCAAAGCAGCCACCAGCCCCATCCGCTGAGTCCAGTTGAGCTGTGCCTGGCGTGGGCTGCCCGTCATGCTCGCGGGCACAGCCTCCTGACTTGCGAGGCGTGTGGCCTTGCCCTCGAGCCCAGCAGAGGCCCAGGGCACGTGGCCCCACTCACCAGCCCTGTGTGTTCTGTGGCAGTGTCACCCGCAACTACCTGGACTGGCTGACGTCCATCCCGTGGGGCAAGTACAGCGACGAGAACCTGGACCTGGTGCGGGCCCAGGCGGTGCTGGAGGAGGACCACTACGGGATGGAGGATGTGAAGAAGCGCATCCTGGTGAGGGCGGGCTGGGGGCGGGGCCGCGCTGCACAGGGTGGGCGGGGCCAGGACTCCCGTGCTGCCGGTGGAGACCTGTGGGATGCGGGTGGGGCCTGCGGAGGCCCAGGGTGGTGTGGGCGGCAGGGGGGCCAGGCCCGCCCACCATGGGGCTCGCAGATGTCCAGGCGGATGGGAGTTGGGCGGAGAAGGCAGAACCCCAGCAGGGCAGGGTGGGGTAGGGGCGCGTCAGGCTGAGGGTGGTGGGCTGGGGGCTAGACCGGAGCGAGGGGTGGGGCCCAGGGACCCTCCCAGGGTGCTTTCGGGCCCTGTGTCTCCCGGGACCTCGTCCCCGCCGCGGCTGATGCAGCCCTTGTCCCCGGCGGCCCCTCCCGTGGTGCACTATGGCTCTGGACTGCTTGGGCCTCTGGGACGAGCTGTCCCTTCCGGCAGCCCCAGGTGTGCCGCAGGCAGCATGAAGGCGGTGAGACTCACGCCCAGACCCTTCCTGGGAGAGTTCCTCCTCCGGGGCGAGGGCAGCTGACGTCCTGGGTGCCCTCCCTGTGTCCGCTGAGCACGTCGCTGCCCACAGGAGTTCATTGCCGTCAGCCAGCTCCGCGGCTCCACACAGGGCAAGATCCTCTGCTTCCACGGCCCCCCAGGTGTGGGCAAGACCTCCATAGCCCGCTCCATCGCCCGCGCCCTCAACCGCCAGTACTTCCGCTTCAGCGTGGGGGGCATGACCGACGTGGCGGAGATCAAGGGGCACAGGTAGGCCTGACAGTGCCCAGCCCGGCCTCGGCCCTCCCGTCCCTCGCTGCCCCTGCTCGCCTGGACCTCCTCGCCTCCCCTTGCTGTGGCCCTCCCATCTCCTTCCCTCCCTCACCTCAGCCCTCCCATCTTTCCCCTGCTCGCCTGGGCCCTCTCTCGTGCCCCTCGCCTCAGACGTCCTGTCTCTCCCCTCCCTCGCCTTGGCCCTCCCGTCCCTCTCCTGTTCCTCGCCTGGGCCTTCGCATCGGGCCTCAGCTCCTGGTCTCCAGCGTCCTGGCCAGAGTTCCAAGGCCAGTGTTTGCCGTGTAAGCCCTGGTCCTCGTGGCTGTGTGGCCAAGGCCCCAGGCTTGAGGTCAGCCTTCTCGAGGCTTATGGGCTAGAATAGGGGACAAGATGGTCTCCCAGCGAGGATGGGCTGCACACACCAGAGAAGCTCGCACCCATCAGTCTCTCCTCCCTGGTCGGCCTCAGGCCTGTACCAGGGGCTGCCACTCTCTGCACTCAGGGTCTCCCTCGCCTGGCCCTTGGGTGGGCAGCCGGTGTTGTCTTCTGCTGGGCTTCCTGCCTCGCCTGCCTCTGCAGACGGTGGCTCTGGAAAACCGTAGCCCTGTGAGAGACGGGCGTAAAGCACCTGCTTTAGCTGGCCACCTGTCTCCACCCTGCACAGTGTTGAGTCTGTATTAAAATGTTAATGTTTCTGTTTCTGTAAGAACATCAGTGCTTCCAGCCACCGGGGTACCAACCAGCCCGGGAGCTCAGCAGCTTGAGGTTGAAGAGGGGGGTTGAGACGGGAGGGCAGGGGAGCCGTGGCAGATCCGTGGCCCAGCTGGCGTCTGAGCCGGACAGGGCAGCAGGCTGAGGGTGGAGGGTGGGTGCCGGGGCCTGGCTGGCCCTCTCCTGGGTGCAGACCCCATCCTGGGTGTGGGCCCCACGGCTCCTGGTTCAGGAAACCCCCAGAGCGGCAGGCAGGGGCCCCTTGCTGGGTGAGGAGTAACCTTGACGGATTTCTAAACTAGCCCTGGCGGCCTCCGGCCTTGGGAGTGAGTCACCAGGAAGGGGCTGTGCTGACATCTGAACGAATGACAAGGACACTGACAGTGGGCATGAGGCGGGTCATCTGCCCCCAGCACAGTCCTCCTCTGCCCACAGCCCTCCGTGTCCCAGCTGCCTTGGGAGGAAGCCAAGTCCTCCCCACGGCCCACCCCTCCCTTTTCTCTCTCGCCTCCTCTGCTCCAGCCGCCCGGGCCTCTTCGCTGTGCCTCCAACACACACAGGCTGTGCCCTCTGCCTGCAACGCTCTTCCCCAGACCCCCGCGTGACTCCCTCCTCCCCTCCTTTGCTCAGGGCCTCCCCGGAGACATCCTCACCCCACACATGCTGAAGTGCCACACGCGCCGCCAGTGGCACCTGGGTCTCCCGCCCCGCCTCTGTTTCTCCGTGGTATGCACAGCCCTCTGCGGTGTCTTTTCTGCCGTCTTGGGGCCTGTCTGCCCACCAGCCTGGTGTGAGCACAGGACCAGGACTCTGCTGGTTTGTCCTTGCCAAGCAGTCACCTTTGCTGGGTTAGAGCGAGAGCTTGTTGGGAAACGCTCCTGAAAGAAGACGCCGGCCGCGGCCAGGCCCTGGGCTGGGGGTGTCTCATGCTCCCAGCGACCCCAGCCCCTCAGTGGTCGGGCTGTGCCTGCTGTCCCCGTGAGGGGTGGGGCCTTCTGCAGCCTCTGTCTCTGTGGGTGAGGGAACACAGGCTGGGTCCAACCCGTGGGTCTGAGCCGGGGCTGAGGGAGCCCTGCTGTGAGTCGGTCCTCCAGAGTCTGGGCTGGGCCGTCCACTTCCCCTGGCCCCCTGAGCACAGGGGTGTCAGGGCGGTGACGGTGGGCTCTGCATGTACCCGGTGCCCTATCTCATGTGGATTTCTGTGTGGTGTCTAACAAGCGGCACTGGCGGGTGCACATTGTGCTGAGGATCCGGGGTTGCTGCGGCCGTGCCAGGGCCTGTGTGCGGGCGCCAGGGCTCCCAGGCAAGCTGCTGAACCCACCGTGCCCTCTCGCAGGCGGACCTATGTGGGCGCCATGCCTGGAAAGATCATCCAGTGCCTGAAGAAGACCAAGACAGAGAACCCGCTGGTCCTCATAGACGAGGTTCGTTTACACAGGCCCTCTGGTCCTTTTTCAGCTGCGGCCCTGAGGTTGAGTAGTCTGTCACTCTGGGGCCACTTCCTAGCCCAGATCTCTGACCAGGCGAGGGCATGTCCGAGGTGAAAAACCCCACGGCTCCTGAGGGTCCTGTGGTCTCCGCGTTTCCTTGGGGGTTCCCAGATGCTGGCCCTGCGATGGGAGGGGTCCTTCCAGCCCACAGCCATGCCCCTCAGCCTGTCCCTCTGTGGCCCAGGGTGTAGCCGCTGCTGTTGCTCGGGGCATCCCCAACCCTGACCCCATGGGCGGCCCACCGGGGTGCCTGGTATGAAAAGTAGCAGGCACCAGCACCACTGCTGTCTGCTGCCCAGGTGGACAAGATTGGCCGCGGCTACCAGGGGGACCCCTCATCCGCGCTGCTGGAGCTGTTGGACCCGGAGCAGAATGCCAACTTCCTGGACCACTACCTGGACGTGCCTGTGGATTTGTCCAAGGTGTGGGGCCCACCCACTGAGGGCCGGGCAGCGCGGGCAGGGCAGGGCGGCCAGTCCCCAGCACCTCTCCGCTGCCCCAGGTACTGTTCATCTGCACGGCCAACGTCACGGAGACCATCCCTGAGCCGCTGAGGGACCGGATGGAGATGATCAACGTGTCCGGCTACGTGGCCCAGGAGAAGCTGGCCATCGCGGAGGTAGGCCCGTCCTGGGGCGCTCGCCAGGGGCCACGCGCCAGAGTCTGCAGAGTCTGCAGGCCCTGCCTCCGGGCTCCCGCGCGTGGGAGAGACAGAGGGCTGGAGGCGGGCTGGAGGTACGGCGCGTGTGGGGTTTGCCGAGGGGGCGAGGCCACAACGGAAACAAGATGGCTGGGTCAGGCGTGGGGGTGACAGAGCTTGGCGTGTGTTCGGGCCGAGGACCGTCCACCGTCTTGGGACCGCACCCTCTGAGCCATGGTGGGGAAGCCCCTCAGCACCCTCTGCCTTGGTCACACCTGGAGCTGTCCTGGCAGCCAAGGCAGGGCCTTGTCTGTGCTGCTTGGACACAGCCACTCCATGGCCAGTGTAGGCTTGGGAGCCTTTCGGCCATCCTGGAGTCGGGCCAGGCCAGGCCTGTGGTTCCTATCAGATCGACACCCACAAATGGTGTGTCAGTCAGTCCCTTCCTGGAGGGGCCTCCTGTCTTTCTGGCTTAGTGGTTTCGTTCTGGAAAGGGGTTGAGCACGTTTCTCCCATGGGAGCCTTTTTGCTGCCTCTGGTGGCTGCTGGGTCCCAACTCTCAGTGCTCTGGCCGCAACCCTCTGCCCTTAGGGGCTCTAGTGACATCAGATGGGCTCCTAGCCTGGTTTCGAGCCTGACTTTGCAGCGGGGTGGGCTCACAGTTTCTGGGAGGTGGGGGGCAGAGCACGGGAACCCCTTGAGTCTCAGGGACCAGCCCCAGTGTCAGTCGACGGATGCAGCATGACGCTGCACGCCTCTCCCAACTTGGATGGCACGGCCATGGGCAAGAATTGTGCCGGGCTGTGGGTGGCCCTGGAGCCTCCCATCCAGTCCCCGCCCGGCGTACAGAGGCTGGCTCTGGGTCTGCGTGTGGGGTGGGCCCAGGGAGGCCTCCAGGGAGGAAGCAGCATCCGAGATGCCTTCTCGAGTGGGGCAGGAAGTGGGCCGAGCAGAGGGCACAGAGGAGCGAAGGCCTGGGGAAGTGAGGAGGGGCGGGGCTGGGCGCCGGCAGGTCCCGGGTCACCCCTCGGTGCCCTCCTGGGTCGACCCGCTTTGGGGGAGCGCGAGATACTGGCGCCGGCCCCCGCGGTCCGGGGCTCGGGCCC